CCTTCCCATCGAAGCCTCTGCTCTCTGGAAACCCTCCTCCCAAGTCCAGGGAAAAGCAATAATCCAGGACTTTTCTGCTTCCACCTCCCTATGTGATTCTCAAATGAGCCTTGCTTCTTCCTGAGCCTCAGTTTTCTCATCTGTAAAATGGGCATCACAGGAAGGATCCATAGAGGTGGTGCTTAAAATGCTCCTGACTGGTAAGGGACCTTCTTAGAGGGCAGTCAAGCGCCTCCCAACTCCTCTCCTTCCAGTTTTTAGGACAATATGCTGGGTTGTCCACAACTAAGGAAACTGATGCCCAAAGGGAAACGAGATGTAATTCCTAGCTATGCTCTTGCTGTGTGGCCTTCAACAAGTCCTGGTTTCCTGGGACTCTGTTTCCCCAGCTCTGGCTCTTTCTACGCTGTTTCTGGAACTTCTTATTGGATCAAAGTGGATTCCAAGGCCAGGGAAGACTTGGTGGAGGGAGGGAATAAAAGGAAGGATAGGCTTGGAGGAACTCAGCCTGGGAGGCCCAACTGTTAAGGACATGAGAATAGTCTGAATGCCCTGCCTCCTGAGAAGGCTCTCTGCCACCGTGCATTCCTTCCCTGCCTGGTTGTCTTTCTTGGCTCCAAAGGGATGGTATCAGTCCAGATAGTGCTGCCTGAGCTGAGGGCAAAATCCTTAATGAGGGGAGCTGGCAGTGTGGCCAGGGACTTCTGGGCAGCTATCCAGCTGGACAGGTCTCCCAACAGGGCCTGGTCTTAGCACCCTCTCATGAAAGCCTTTTTCAGGGTACTCTGCTGGACTCAACAGGAGAGTGCGCTATGAGCTTTGAGGCCAAAAGCCCCACTCCCAGATGAGCCAGGATATAAGATGATAGGTGAGAGCAGACCCTTCCATGGGTGGGAATTGTAGGAGCCTCAGAGTGGGCACCATACTCTCTACCTCTATTAGAAATCTTTTGTAATAAAAAAAATTATAAGACAAATCCTAAAGAATGACAAAATGCTTTGACCATTGTGCCCTAATCTCTCATTTTAAGCTGTCAGCTCATGAGTACTTTATTTATGAATATAATAGGGAAGCAATCTACTTTCATAGGGGTGTAGACTTGGCAATTTGCAAAATAAAAGTGTAACAAAAAGTGGAAGCAGCTCAAATACACATCAACAGAAGAATGGATAAACAAAATGTAGTATGTCCATACAGTGGAATATTATTCTTCAATAAAAAGGAGAGATGGTAAAAAATAAAAAAAGATACGAATTTCTGATACATGCTGCAACATTGATGACCCTTAAAAACTTTATGCTGTGTGAAAGAAGCCAGACACAGAAGAACAAATCCTGTATGATCCCACTTATATGAAATATCTAGAATAGGCAAATGCATAGAGACCACAGTGTATTAGTGGTGACCAGGGGCTGGGAAAGGAGGGTGGAGAGTGAATGCTAATGGGTACAGGTTTCTTTTTGGGGTGAAGAGAATGTCCTAAACTTGGATTGCAGTGATGGTTGCACAGCATACTAAAAGCTAGTGAATTGTAACCTCTAAATGGTGAATTGTAGAAATGTGAATTATATGTTAATAAAAATATTTAAAAAAGATGTGTGCTTTATTTGTTAACATGAGTATGCCAATATTAAACAATAAAGTCTTTTGTATTGAAGATTACGAAAAGTCATTAAAGTCCCTGAAATCAGTGTGCCCGTGGTCTGAGCATGGGGTATCTTCTTTGAGCTTTGATTTCCTCTGTAAATGGGTATATAATAGTGCCTTTCTCATAGGGTAGTTGTGAGGGGTCAGGGGAGTGCTATCTCTTTCATTATTGCTATTTAATCACTATTACGGTTTTTTCCACTAAGCTGTTAGCCCCATGGGTGCAGGAAATTTGTCTGTTTTATTGATGATTGGCTCCCCAGTGTATGGAGTTGTGACTGAGATGATCCTCAACAAATGTTCCTTGAATTGATATTACTAGTTTCCTACTGGTGTGTACACATGCATGACCACCTATAGGAAAATGTCTGAGAGGGTATGTACCAACTCATGGCCATGCTCCCTGTGGGAACCTCTCCTTTAGGAAGCTCTGGTTTCTTGGATGCCATTCCCCTTCTCCAGCCCTCTTCTTGTTTTAACCTCTTCCTCTTGCTGTCAGAAAACCACTTCTCTCTTTGCAGCAGGAAGGGCATGCACTTTGAAGTCAGGCATATCTGGGGCCCCTCCTTGTCTCTTTTCACTTGCTATTCTTTCCCATAAATGCCAGGCACTGTTTCAGGGGCAGGGCTACAGGGAGGAAGAGGCGAGTGAAGACTTGACCTCTGTGGAGCCAAGTGTAGAGCTAACACTGTAGAGGCAGAGGCACCAATCAATATAGTCAGCACAGAAGTTCTCAGTGCAGTCCATAGGCTCCAAGGATTTCCCAAGACTCTCTCATGGTGTTTACAAGGTCAAAATGATCTTCTTAATAACGTTGTTGGTTGCCATCAAGGCAGCTCCCACTCATGGTGATCCCATGTACAACAGAATGAGATGTCACCTGGTCCTGTGCCATTTTCATTTTTGTTGGTATGCTCTAGTCTGTTGTTGCAACCACTATGTGTTTTGAGTGCTTTCCAACCTAGGGAGCTCATCTTCAGCACTAATGTCCTTAAGAGAATTGAAAGCAGGCATTCAAACAGATACTTGCACACCAATGTTCACTGCAGCACTATTCACAGTAGGCAACAGGTGTAAACAACCCAAATGTTCATCAGCTGATGAATGGATAAACAAAATGTGGCACATCCATATGATGGATAATTATCAGCCATACAGAGAATGAAGTTCTGACACATGCTGCAATATGGAGCAATGTAGATAAATCTTGAAAACATTATGCTGAGTGAAGTAAGTCAGAGACAAAAGGATGAATACCGTATGATCCCCCTTACAAGAAATATCTAGAATAGACAAGTGTATAGAAACCAAAGTTTATTAGTAGTTACCAGGAGCAAGTGGGAAGGAAGGAAAAAAGAGGACTCAATGCTTAGAGGAACCTGAGCTTCTGTTAAAGGGGATATGATTTTGAATCAATAAGGGTGATAGTTGAACAACATGGTGAACATGGTTAATTGAACGGTCCATGTGAAGATTGTTGAAATAGCAAATGTTACATATTTACTACACACACACACACACACACACAAAGAATGTCCTTGGTGAAGTGTCAAAATTATGAACTTTATGAAATCTTGACACTTGAGTGTACACCTTTTTAATATTCTGTGTGATGAACTGGGAAGTGTCCATAAAGCATGCCAAAGAATCATGGTTTCTCATGGAAAAGCACTTGTGAGCTGGTTGTTTTGCAAGCTAAATGGGACACCTTATTAATGGAACATCATTTTTCCTTTGTAAGAATGACTGACAAACTGTGGCTATACAGACTTGGGTATTTGGCAGATGTTTTCTTGAAATTAAACAAAATGAGCTATTACTTCAAAGGAAAACCCCAATTGCAGTTGCTGCTGATGATAAAACTGAAACTTTCAAGTGGAAATTAGGATATTGGAAAACGTCCATCAGCACTGGCAGCTTGATATATTGCTTCCCAACACATGAAGACTTCTGATGAGGTCTGTAGTGATACCAACCAGTGTTATTTTTAGCTATTGAAAAATGAAAAGTGTTAACTCTTAGATCAGTCAACTAGTACTTTCTAAATAACAAAGAACTTTGCTGGTGCTGTAGTGCCTAAGGTATTTGGCTGCTAACCAGAAAGCTGGTGGTTCAAACTCACCAGCCATTCCTTGGAACAAAGACTGGGCAATCTACTTCCGTAGAGATACCGCCTCGGAAACCCAAAGAGGGGTCGTTTTGAGTCAGAACTGACTCGATTTGGCTTTTTTTGGTTTGTTATAAATCATACCTGAGTAAAAGTTCCATTCCAAGTGCAAGATACCAAGCCCACTGCATTGAGTTGATTTTGACTCATAGTGACCCTTTGGGAGTAGAACTGCCCCACAAAGTTTCCAAGCCTGTAAATCTTTATGGAAGCAGACTACCTCATCTTTCTCCCATGGAGTGACTGGTGGGTTAGAACTGCTGACCTTTTAGTTAGCAGCCGAATGCCTTAACCACTGTGCCCCCAGAACTCCTAAGTGCAAGATAGACCCATAGATATTCATGTAATGGAGTATGAAAAGTTTGTTCATAGCTTTCAGTATACTGCAACTGAGTATTAAAAAGTACCACTTGTTGAGTTTTGGTGTTGCAGGTAAGAAAAATATTCACAATGATCCAAAAAGGCTATAAAAATACCCTTCCCTTTTCAGTTCCCACATAACTGTGGGAAGCCAGCTTTTCTTCACATAATTCAACCAAAATCACATATCACAACAGACAGAAGGCAGAAGAGATATGAGCATCCATCTGTCTTCTATTAAGTTAGACATTCAAGAGATTTGCAAAAGTATAAAACCTATTCCATCCTTTTCACTACTTCTTTTTTGTTTGTTTTGAAAAATATAGCAAGTCTCAAAATAGGTATTTATGTTAACATCTAACAGAGTTATTGTTACTTTTAAATCAATGAATAAAATATTTTAATGATTTTTCAGTTTTAGTTTCTCATACAGTAAATTAAATATCAATATTCCTAAACTACATAAACTAAAACTCTTTGAGGTCTTCAATAATTTTTAAGACTGTAAAGGGTAGAACTGTCAGATAAAATGCAAGTATATCTCTTATAATATTTGGGGCACACTTACACTAAACAATTATTTGTTATTTATCTGACATTCAGATTCTTTTATTTATTCATTAAATTTTATTTATTCATTAAATCTGGCAACCCTGGTAAAGGGATCTTGACAACAAAATATTTGACAACTGCTGGTATAATATATTAATAAGTGTTCAGAAGGAAAATAATCAGATAAGAATTCAAAGAGTGAGGAGGGCTCTGGTCAGTCTCAGCCTTGGGCACTGGCCGCATAGCTAGAGGCAGTGGAGCGGAAGACCCAGCCATGGCTGCAATCCGAAAGAAGCTGGTGATTCTAGGCGATGGTGCCTGTGGGAAGACCTGCCTCATCATCTTCAGCAAGGATCAGTTCCCAGAGGTCGACATCCCTACCGTCTTTGAAAACTATATTGCAGACGCTGAGGTGTATGGCAAGCAGGTGGAGCTGGCTCTATGGCACACAGCCTCTTTCCTACCCAGATCCTGATGTCATTCTCATGTGCTTCTCCATTGACAACCCTAACAGCCTAGAAAACATTCCTGAGAAGTGGACCCCAGAGATGAAGCACTTCTGCCCCAAGGTGCCCATCATCCTAGTGGGGAATAAGAAGGACTTGAGGCAAGATGAGCATACCAGGAGAGAGCTGGCCAAAATGAAGCAGGAGCCTGTTAGGTCTGAGGAAGGCCAGGATATGGCAAATTGGATCAGTGCCTTTGGCTACCTCGAGTGCTCAGCCAAGACTAAGGAGGGGGTATGGGAGGTGTTCAAGATGGCTACTCACTGCAGGCCTCCAGGTCCACAAAAACAAGGTCAGAGGGGCTGTCCCACTCTTTGAGAGCCCTAAAGCCTACCTACCTGTTTTCCCCTCCCCCAATAAGCATGTAGAAACTATCCCCCTTCCAGCCCCACCATCACGACTCTTGCTGAAGGCACCCTTTTCCAATTCCCTCCAGTCCAGGACTGCATTGAGCTTCCCTAGCCCCACTGGTGGTGGTAGGCCCTCCTCCCAGCCCCCTGGGAACCTGGGCCTGTGCCGTGCCCTTTCGGAGTCCCTGTTGCCTCAGGGGTGGAGCTCTTTTTCCCTTTGGCCTTCCCCAGAGGATCTCTCACACCAGCACTTTATCCACTTGTGGCTCACAGGAGAGTGTCTGGGGCAGGGGACTTGCAGGATGTAACCAGAGTTCCCAGCCCCTGCTTTTAGGGCTTGTCTCAGACTGTACTTCGTGGGGAGCATGAATAAAAGACACAGGCTCTAAAAAAAAAAAAAAAAAAGAAGAAACAAAGAGTAAGGAGGATTGCTGTTTTATTGGTATTGGTTGGTCAGGGACATGGTGACATTGAAGAACAGGAGGGGTCTCCAGGTGGAGGTTACAGTGAGTGCCAGGACCCTGAGGCTGGAGTGGGGGCCTGGGTGATGGAGACACAGCAAGGAGAGAGGGAGATATGTGCTCCCATTTCCCTCTGTTCTCTTCCGTAAGGTTATTGTTAGCTGCTGTTGAGTTGGTCCCCTATTCATGGCAACCCCATGCACAATGGAATGGAAGGCTCTCCAGTCCTTTATCATACCCATGATTCATCATGATCAGACTGTTATAATCCACAGGGTTTTCATTGGCTGATTTTTAGAAGTAGATGGTCAAGTCTTTCTACCTAGTACATCTCATTCTGGAGGTGTCACTGAAACCTATTCAGCATCATAGCAACACACAAGCCTTCACTGATAGATGGGTGGTCCTTGTGCATGAGGTGCGTTGGTCAGGCAGGAATCAAATATGAGTCTCCTGCGTGAGAGGGGAGAATTCTACGACTAAATCACCATTGCCTCTTGTACTGTGAGGAAGGACATCTCTATGTTCAAGAAGTGGAGGCTCAGAGAAGTTTAGGAACAAACTGTGCATTTGCACAGCTGGCCCAGGAAGTCAGAAAGTGTGACACCAAAGTCTATGTCTGGCCATTCTTGCATCTTCCCCAGCTGCAGGACAAGGGCAGGCTGGCACAGTACCTGGCAGTAGTAGATGCTCCACAGGAAGTTTTCTCTGTCCCTGGCTGAGAGGAAGGCAGTGTGGGGGGTGGAGGTGGCAGGAGAACAAAGGCCTTTTGTGAGTGGGAGACTTCGGTCTGGCCCTGTCTGCACATGGGATTAGGGTCATCAGTCTGGAGGAGCCTGCTCAAATTGATCCTGGCTGGCTGCTGGGTAGGGCATCCCTGCTGATAGAGGCTTGACTGCTGGGTCACATCTTAGCTGTGGTGGGCTCACACCCATCTGGGCTGGCAAAATGAGAGCGTCTGGGATCCTGACAAGCATACTCCTGGGGGTAGTAGGGTGGAGCCTGAAATGTCCTCATCCTTGACGCTGTCCCGTCAGACCAACTTTGCCACCACTTGTATCAAAGACCTGGTGGTTGCTCTAGGCAGGCTTAGGTTGCCTTCAGCTTCTGGACACAGTCAGGGAAGGCAGAGGTGGTCTGAGGCAAATGGTCAAAGGCTCCAGCCACAGGGCTTATGCTGTGGCCAGAGAACTAGGTCTGGGGCAGCAGGGAGCAGCTAATGAAATGCCAGGACAGCAGTGGACAAGAGCAAGCATTAGGAGCAGCCCTCCCCACTACAGCCAAGAAAGGGTGTTTTGCTTCACGTTCATCATCAAACTAATCAGCTAATCTCTTTTATTATCACCATGTTCTGGACATGCTGAAAGAAGTCAGTGATAAAATATTCCTCCCTGTAAATACCTTTTTAGACTCAGTGCTAAACAATCACCATGGATAGTGTTACTTTTTTATAAGACATCTGCTTAAAATTAGCATATCTTTATGACTTGAGCCCTGGTGGCTCAGTGGTGAAGCACTAGGCTACTAACTGAAAGTTCAGTGATTTGGATCCATCAGTTGCTCATCAGGAGAAAGATGAGGCAGTCTGCTTCTGCAAAGATTCACAGACTTGGAAACCCTGTAGGGAAATTCTCCTCTGTCTTTTTTATTTTATTTTATTGTGATTTGGGTGAAGATTTACAGAGCAAATTCACTTTCCATACAGCAGTTCATATATACTTTGTCTCATGTCATTGACCACAATTTACCACAATGCAACAGCTCCCCTCCCACTTCCTCCCCATAGTTACCTCT